CACATGCTAACTTATCCTCCCACTCACAGACATGAACCGAGAGCGAGACGTTATTTCACTTCTCTTGTATTCCATTATGAAGGCTTGAGGACTGATTTACTCTGGGCTTCAGCAACGGGGATCCTGCCTCGCGTCGCACTAATTCAACTATGTTTAGTAGTCACTTATTTTTATGTTTGCAAAAAAAAAACAAAAAAACATGTATAGCATCGCATCTGACCAATTCTGATAGTATTGACAAATTGATAACTTCTTGAGCCTGGAGACTGGTTAACATGAGATCCACAGGATCCATCTGCATTTTGGCTGTTGTGAGCTTGGGAGACCTTAAGATGTTTTGCTATAGTTTTCCTGGTTGGGAATGGGTGGGATTGGATTTTCTTGAGAAGGGAAAGGGTATGACGTAGGCTTAGGAATGGTTACGTAAAATGTTACAATTCTGTTGTGTATATTGATATCCCAGTTGTTCATGATGACTGCAATATGAATTATGTTAAATAAAATATTGATTTGAATGCCTACATTTTAAGATTAGTGTAAATTACAACAGCAGATTGTCTTTAAAAACAACATCGACAATAAAATGTTTTATTTGACCTGGACCAAAGTGCCTCTGCATCAGGACAGACCGTTGCATCGCCAGAACATGGATTATCACGTTGATTATTAACTTTAACATAGAAGAAAATGATACAAATGTTCATGTGATAAACCAAATACTCTGTTTTGCTGTGTCAACATTAATTAAAAGCTGTAAAAATCACATTTCTTTATAAGTTTTACACATTACTTCGGTATCCAGTGTGAATGTGCGAGCGAATGCCTCTGCAGTCTTCACTGGAGCAGCCGGGCCACTTTTAGCTGCCATTAAATTTAACAGATTTAAGGAAACCCGTATTTCCTGCACTGTGAACAAGGCCGTTTTACTGGTAACTTTCATTTGTCCTTGAAGGGTTACGATTGTCTTCTGTCATTGTGTTTTATAAATCTGTCAGAGAAACTTGCGATTACATGTTTTGAAGCAGGAGAGAGGAAGAGCTAGAGAACACTGATGATGAAGGACCGGTTGCTGTGACGACCCCCTGGAGAACACTGATGATGATGAACCAGTTACTGTAATGACCCGCTGGAGAACACTGACGATGATGGACCGGTTACTATAACGACTCGCTGGTGAACACTGATGATGGACCGGTTACTGTAACGACCCGCTGGAGAACGCTGGTGATGGACTGGTTACTGTAACGACCCGCTGGAGAACGCTGATGATGAAGTGCCGGTTACTGTAACGACCCGCTGGAGAACGCTGATGATGAAGGACCGGTTGCTGTGACGACCCGCTGGAGAACACTCATTTATTCATTCAGCTGACGCTTTAAACCAAAGTGATTTACAATTATATGCCAGGGTTTTTTCAATGTTTGTGTCACTCACTAACATTGAAAAAACATGTTGATGCATTGGTTTTTAATTAAATATTTAATTAAGTTAATTCCTTATTATCACCTTATACTGAAAGGTGTCGATGTTGTTTAATAGAAATAGCATGGAAAAACACACTTTGTTGGGTTAAATAGTAGAGCATTGGCACTAACACCACCAAGGTCATGGGTTCGATTCACAGGGAAAGCAAAACTGATATGAATGTAAACGTGTACCTTGAAGGTTTTAACTTTAACTCGAGCGCTCATGTGAGGCATTGCAGAATATACAAGCATCAAAGATGTCCATCAATGCAACAGTGAAACGCAAAACTATAATCCGTGTGAAGCCTCCACGTTCTCAAGACTTCTTCATCCTCTTCCTCCTCTTACTCATCCTCTGCCTCCTCGTACTCGTCCTCTTCCTCCTCTACCTTCTCTTACTCGTACTCTGCCTTCTTTTACTCGTACTCTTCCTCCTCTTGCTCATCCTCTGCCTCCTCTTCCTCTTACTCATACTCTTCCTCCTCTTACTCATACTCTGCATCCTCTTACACAAACTCTTCCTCTAACTCATCCTCTTCTTCCTCTGTCTCCTCTTACTCATCTTCTTCCTTTTACTCATCCTCTTCCTCCTCTTACACATACTCTTCCTCCTTGTACTCATCCTCTTCCTCCTTTTACTCATCATCTTCCTCTTCTTAATCATCCTCTTCCTCGTCGTACTCATCCTCTTCCTCCTCTGCCTCCTCTTACTCATCCTCTTCCTCCTCTTGTACTCTTCCTCCTCTTACTCATACTCTTCCACCTCCTCTTCCTCATCCTCTTCCTCCTCTTAATCATCCTCTTCCTCCTCTTACATGTACTCATCCTCTTACTCATCCTCTTCCTTTTCTGCCTCCCTTACTTGTACTCTTCCTCCTCATCCTCACCCTCTGCCTCCTCTTACACGTATTCTTCCTCCTCCTCATACTCTTCCTCCTCATCCTCTTCCTCCTTTTACTCATACTCTTCCTCCTCTTACTCGTACTCTTCCTCCTCATCCTCTTCCTCCGTACTCGTACTCTTTCTCCCAGACCTGGATTATCCATAAGGACACTTGGGCAACAAACCATCACAACCACTGGGGGGGCACCACATGACACAAGCTTTAACCCTTGTGCATTGTTCAAGTTCACTACCCTTTCGTTATGTTCGTGGCAAAAAAAAGCCACTACTTTAAACTGCTGTAAAAATGTATCAGATAAATATTTTTTTCAATTTTTTTTTGCATAAATCTATTAACCGACCACAGTCCTGATCAAAACTACTAATTTTTTTTTTTTTACAAATTTCAGGATTTTAACTCTTTAATTGCCAAATTCCTAAATGATGTCACTGATTTGGGGGGAAAAACACAAAATGACTTATTTTTTTACCTTTTATCACAGTCTTGGACATGTCAAAGATTAGAAACAACATTGGTTTTGATGCATTGTTAGTTTGTGTGCAGTATCAGATTTTAACTTTTTCTCCCTCATTTACTGTTCGTGGCTGTTTTTGCCCCATTGACTTCCATTATAACCACATTTTTGATTGCAAAGCCATGACACCTTAAAATCATGCATTTTTGATTGTTGATGGTTTTCCCTGTTGGGAAGAGGTAAAATTTGTAATTTTTACTGTTGATAACCAGGTGGAACCAAGAACCATTAACCCTTTAGACAGGCCTGTGCAAAAAAAGCTTAGTTTCTGGCTTTTACATGGAGTTATATGGAGTATAATAGCATATTACAGTGTGTGTGTGTGTGTGTGTGTGTGTGTGTGTGTGTGTGTGTGTGTGTGTGTGTGTGTGTGTGTGTGTGTGTGTGTGTGTGAGTGAGTGTGAGTGAGAGAGAGTGTGAGAACTCACCTTGATGCGTCTGAGAAAATAAAAATATACACTTCAGCTCTCAAAACTACATGGAGTAAACAAAAACAAAGTAAGTGTATATAATGCTACTGCTGCCTTTTGATGGTGAGAAATGCAGACTAAACAAAAACAAAGCAAGTGGATATAAACACTTGTCATTTGATGGTGAGAAGAGCAGCAAGCAACATGAGAAAGGACTTGACTTGTAGTTAAGTTTTAGAGATGATTATGCAGTCTGACCCCTCCAGCGAGCTGCAGGAGTTATTGTCTTCTCACTCTGACCGCAGACTCAGGAGCGTCAGATCCTGATTTGGATGTGGCACCCTCATCATCATCATCTCAAGCTTCCACTGAAGGTGAGGAGGATTCAGAGGATCCTGGATCTGGGTGGACTGGGAGAATCTTGAGAGGGACATGGTGGCTCTGAAAATCGCACGACCACTGCGAGCATCCTATAGACCATTTCACAAGATGTAAACAGCACTGGTCCAGACCCAGATAGCAAACTGACATTGAATCAACGTAGAAACATGACATCGAAACAACGTTGATCTGACATTGTTTTGCTCATCAAATTAACGTTGAACCAACGTCAGACGCGTCATTCTTTCAAAACTAACGGAAAATCAACTTGAAATCAACGCGTTGTTTCAACGTTATGAAAGCAAACCAATTTTCGATTTTCATTTAGCTTTGAAGAATGCCGCGTCTGACGTTGGTTCAATGTTAATTCGATGAGCAAAATCAACGTTGTTTCAATGTCATGAGACGTCGTTTCCACGTTGATTCAATGTCAGTTTGCTGTCTGGGGAAGCACTTCCTGTTTCAGTTTTTTAACACTACATAAAAGCTGGGATAAAATACAACCAACAGAACTTTAAAACTGAATCAAAAAGTTAAACAAACATCTTTAAGATGTTTTCTTTACATGTGAAATAAAGAAAACAGTTACAAACTGAAACAGGAAGTGCCTCTGGACCAGTGTTGTTTACATCTTGTGAAATGGTCTACAGGCAACGTGTGGACTCCCCTCTGAATCTGTAGACGCCGGCCAAAATCAGTAGCCCCATGTAGGCACAGAGATCTGTGGAGTCCACAGATCCAGGATCCTGAATCCTCCTCACCTTCAGTGGAGCTCTAGCTTCCACTGAAAGCAGGAGGATTCTGTGGTTCCTGGATCTGGGTGGATTGGGAGAAATGGAGAAGTATGGTTTTCCACCAATGCGGAGACAACTCCCTTTCTTCAGCCTGCAAGAGGCGTGAGTCGAGGGCCGACACGCTATGCTATCGCAAAGGTCCAGAACATGGATTCTGTGTTCAATCTGTTTTTTACGGAGGAGATGACTGACCTCATTGTCAGCATGACCAACCTCCATGGGCACCACACAATGAGAAACTGGACCGGGGTGGACTCCACAGATCTCTGTGCCTATATGGGGCTATTGATTTTGATCCTCCTCTGCCTCTCAGATTGTTTTCATCTATTTGTTTATATCATCAGTCAGTGCACCTGTACACTTTTCATATTTCATACTCAACATATTTCGTACAGTTGGTTTATCACATCATTAGAAATAAGTTTATTTTGGCCTGTTCCGTTTAAACGCTATGTGTTCGGTGTTTAGAAATTGATTAGAATTGTTTTAATAGAGTGCATAGGATTTGAAAAAGGCATCTAACTGCCTGAACTTGAAGGTTTTAACGAAATAGTGATTTATTAAACAAAAGGGTTTAGGCTATTGGGAATTTGGTTCAATGAATGAGGTTTAGCAATTGTGAAAAACTGTAAGACTGATGATGATGCTGTTTGTGTCACGGAACGCGCGAGCAAGCGTCGTGATACTGCGCATGGGCGGAGACTGTGACGTCAGCGCGTGATATCGTTCGCAGGCGGGAGTTCCGCGCGGCCTTTTCCTCGCAACAGCGGCTGATGAAGAAGCGGATACCCGCGAGAACTGCTCGTCCTCGTTATTAGGCGTGGACGCGATTCTGACTTTACACGACCGATTCCTCGTTCCCGTCAGTGCAGATCTCGTCGCGTTTGCGCGCGTCAGGATGGAGCTCATCACAATCCTCGAGAAAACCGTGTCTCCAGGTACATGAGCCTCGCCCGCACTCGTCCTATCAACACATGTGTGTGTTTCTCACGCGTGCGTGTCTAGATTGAAGGGTTTGTGTGTGTTTGTTAGCGGGCGGCTAATATAGCGAAGGCCTCTCGACGCTTGTCCTGATGTGTGAACAGCTGCTGAAACGAATTGCTAAAGCTACACTTAATTTCTGAAGACTGTCGACGAGAACAGCTAACGCGGGCGTCAGGCGTCAAAGCCTGCGCGCGTCGCGTTTGAAAACGGCGTTTGCCGGCCTGTGGCGATCGAGTCTCTCACGGGCGGAGAATGCGATTATCTGAGTAAATATAATAACTCGAAGCTCTTCCTCATGTTCCCGCAGATGTGCTCATGTTGAGAGGTTTGTCCCGTGCGCAGGTTAGACTTGATAAAGTTATTAGCCGGTTAGCATGCTACTCAGGAAATGGCTTGGTGCTAGCATGGCTAGTTCTCAGTCATTGCTATCTGCTTCAGAAAGTTTCTAAGTTCAAACTCGGTTTTCGTGTCCGCCATTTCTCTCGCTCTTTAATACATGTGAATTCTAGGCATGTGAGCTAGTGGGGTTTTTGTTGAGTGTGAGGCGGGAATGAAGCCGATCACAGCGTGTGTGTGTGTGTGTGTGCAGTTTTGCTACCGCGATTGAGACGCGTGAGTTTGCGGGTGTTTGGCGGGAGAGGAGAGCTGTGATACATCATGCGTGCCATTCGAGATTGATCATGAGTTTTTTTTTCTTGATTGTGGTTGATTTACAGATCGGAATGAGCTGGAAGCGGCGCAGAAGTTTCTGGAGCAGGCGGCCATCGAGAACCTGGTGATGAAGCACAACACACGCGCGCGCACACACACACATACACAGTTCATGTCTGTCACACTGACCTCTCACTCTTCACTGAGTTCCTGAATGTGTCTGAAACCAAAGACTGCCCTCTCTAAAATACAGGTTCTGGCAGTGATGCTACAGAAAAGCCATTTTTTGTACCTGAAAGAGCCTTTAATTTCAGTGTGTGTGTGTGTGCGTAGGAACCACTGTAACCCCAGCTGGATATGGGTTGGTTTGTAGAGAAATTAACTAGCCTCACAGTCCTTCCCAGTGACCGTCATGAGCCTGATGTGGAGACTCTGGCAGAGTTATGATTGATCAGAGTGTGTGTGTATGTGTGTCAAGCTGTCTAGCCTCACTTTTCTCTTCACTGATCCAGGAAGAGGGCTGGTCTAAACCCTCGTCTGTGTGTTTCAGCCGACGTTCCTGGTGGAGCTGTCGAAGGTGCTGGCGAACCCCGGGAACACACAGGTGGCCCGAGTGGCAGCGGGTCTGCAGGTGAAGAACTCCCTGACCTCCAAGGACCCGGATGTGAAGACCCAGAACCAGCAGAGATGGCTGGCCATCGACTCCAGTGCACGCAGGGAGATCAAGAACTACGTAAGCCCACATCCCTCGTGCGAGACACGGACACCGGGACACACACAAAAAAAGCCCATATTGTGCGAGACACGGACACACGCTAGCCCACATCCCTCGTGCGAGACATGGACACACACACACGGACAACAGGACACACTCTTGTTCAATCTCAAACTTTCAAAATCTCAAAATTTAGTTCATTTAAGTGGTTTTAAATGTTATACTTTTAACTGCCATATTCCCCGAACACGTCCATCTTTGCAATCTTGATCATATTCTAATAAATAAATGCTTTACCTTCCGAGTCTTTCGTTCATGCGTCATGTGACCGACCCATCAATACTGCACAGACATGGGTGTTCAGAATCATAACTAGTGTAGTTCTGTAAATGCAGATCTTGTGATAGAGTGGTTGTTTACTGAAGGCATTCACTGAATTGTGCAAAATGAACTTCTCAAGACCATATGGCGATCCCTAAAAATAAACTTTGTACAGGATTCTGTTAGAGCTGAATGATTAATTGCATTTGCGATAAAATCGCGATATGATGAAACGCGATTTTGTAATCGCAAGAGCTGCGATTACACTGGTCACGTTACACGCGGGAGCAGTCTGCAAGATCAAGCATCAACTTGCCACGCTACGCGGTCTGGCGTTCAGAAAAGAACAGTTTATTTTTAATGTATGTGATATTGTGTTAGTTATTCTCTCCCCAACAATCCTGGATCGATTCAGAGAATTTCAGAATCGAGTTTGAGCTTAGTTTTAAAACACAGATGCATGATGACGCTGCGCGTGCTTCAGAAACGAACCGTGTTCTGCTTGCTTCTATTCTCTCTCTCAGGCATAAATTTTTTTTTTATTTGTTTCCGGTTTCCGACCCTGTCAATTTATGTGCGACCCAAATTTATTTTATGAGCTTGGGGAAGAAATAATAAAAATTAAATAAATACACAAATAAAAAACTTTGAGGCGAACTATAAATTTACGTTTTTGTACAGTACCGTCTTTTTATAGCACGCGATGCAAGATGCATCTTGTCCTCCAGCAATGCTATTAACAAACGAGGCAGATATCATTCGTCAAACTGAACTATAATAAATATTATACAAGTCTTTTTTTTTTGTCATTTAGGATACTTTTATACATATTCGCACACATACAAATACATGCATTCATAGGCATTCACACACCACATAGGCCTACTAATACCTCCGCCTAGTTTTATTAAAAATCATCCCCAAAATTCCAATGATCCCAATCCCATCTTCTGCTGTCTAGCACTTCTTTCGCCATGTATTTGTTCGTTTCTTTTATTATTTTATGCAATCCAAAACACTAACCTGCCGCGGTTCGTATCTCCAGAGCCCGTCTAACTTGTCCGCTTGTCCGGGACAAATGGATTTTTGAAGGACAAGTAAAAGAGAATTTTACTCGCCTTAACGGACAAGTAGACTGATTACAACATCAATAACAAACAAAAAATAATAACTAGGGAATCACTAAACCGAGAGAATGTTTCTGATTTTATTACATTTATTGCAAGTTGCGATCGATTGTGGATAATAAATGTAGGCCTACTGTATTACTGATGGTAAGGTTGCGCTGTTGACGCTCGCGCAGAGAAATCTACACACATGAGCGGAGCGCACACACACACAGTTAACAACCTACTGCCTATAAAAAATCTAAATGTGGAGTTTTTATATTTTAACATATGTTAAGCAGCCTCAATTATTTTTCCTGAATACCATCACGATTGAAAAAGTGACATTGATTTCCTACAACAGTTCAAAGAGTTAAGATTAAGTCACTTACTTTTTATAAGCAATATTGGGTGTTTTTGTTCCATTTCAGCAGCGAAAATAGTTCCAAAGAAAAGTCACAGCAGAACCACGACGCGTCTCACAGGAACTCATCCTGTTTTCATTACTGAATGATTCAGCATTTTGAACGAATCGGTTGAGTCAAAGATTCAATGACCCATTCATAAACATTGGTCTCATTCTTGAATGAATCAACCGTTTGAACGAATCGTTTGAAAAAATGAATCAATAACTCACTCATTTATACGGCCGCCTGCCGCCACCTATTGGCAGTTTAGTGTTATGTTTATAAGTAGCCTAGTATAATTCTTTCCAATATTTCTTATTTGCACATTTAAATCAATTTCATAACATTATTTTATGAGATTGTAATTTTTCAGTGTAAATGATTTAATTTGATCAGCCCTACCTAGGGTAACAGTATGCTTCATCTTTAATTTCCTAAATTTGATCAATAAATTCAATTATTTATAATAATAAGACACAATAGGGCATTTAATAATATTAGGGGAGGGGATGCCCTTAAAGGTGCAGATATTACAATATGCCTTTTTAAATATCAAAGCTGATTGAACACTGATGAGAATATTGCTTCAGAATAAAAAATAAATAAATTTTAAAAATCCGGACAGCAACTTTTTTACTCGGACACGTGATTGACAGATTTACTTACTTGTCTTTGTTACTGTCTTTGTTTCCACTGTAGTTTCAATTTTGATATTTTTAGGTTTGAATTTTTAGGTTTGAGTCCTGAATAATTTCCTACCCATCCCTTGCTGCCAAAAAAAAAAAAAAAAAAAAAATCCCTACCGACCCATGACCTCAACTGACAACCAACCGGAACCAAACTTTTTTTTTTATGCCTTACTCAAAACATAGTAACGTTATTTCATAAAGTTCGGGGTTGAACCGAATTACAAGGACATTCGCGGGCTTGCCGCTTTGCTTGATGTTATAACGTTAATCTTGCAGACCGCGTTCTCTCCCGCGGGAATTTTCCTTACAAATGCTTCACAGCGGCATTATTTATGTCTTTTGGAATGCACTGCAGTCGGCTTATATATTAAAACTATGAAAATCACTGAGAACGCTGCTTTCATTTTAAAATACTAACGCGCGCTTTGTGAAGAGCGCTCGTGCATGCGGCCGTGAGCGACTCATTCGTTGAATGTGCATAAACTTGCATGTCAAAATGCTTTTATGACGCGAAATTAATGTAAACATGGTCCGTTCTTAAACCAACAGGACAAACCACAATTACAATTTCAAGAGATGTGCATTAGTGTGAATGCAGCTTATCATATCTAAACTGAGTGGGAAATCACTCCAGCTCTTGAATGATAAACAGACAGCCTACTTTTAAATACTGAGATCACTCTTTCTTTATGGCTTGTAATGCTTTTTTTGTTTCTCTTTATTTAGCTTTTATATTATGACGATATATTACTTTATAAAGCCGATTTAAAATTCTTAACATTGGTTTAATTAAATGTTTTTTTATAATTATTTTTAAAGTATGTGTTTTTACACATGTAATTACATGCATATTTTAAGTGTTATTAAGATTAATTAATAAAAAAAAGTAGATCGGATCATGAGCTGCCTAAAGATTCCCATTCCTACTGTACAATGATTTGTCGATTAATACAGAAGATTTATAGATGTGTTTGCTAAATCCTCATATTAATGTACAATCAACTTCAAGGCAGTGTAGTCTGAATAATCAAGGCCAGTGTCACCAGTATGGAAGTACTACTTTTAA